TTACTTTAAATGGCATTTTCCTCAAAAACCACTAAGCCTTTTTTAAATTTCCAAATTTTCACGGGAAAATGTTCCTTTGGTGGTCCCCTTTAAAAATTTTCAAAAAAATTTAATTCCTTTGCAGAACTCGGGTTCCCCATGGAAAACCAAAAAGAAAAAACCCTTTAAATTTATTTTTTTTTAAAAAACCCAAAAAAGAGCAAAGACCCTTAATATTTCCCCATAAAAACACTTAATTTTGAGCGAACTGCGCCCGTTGGTTTGTCCCCCGCCCGGGGGTTCAAATTGAAACATTTTCCTAAATGCCATATAGAAAAAAACTTTAAAAAATCTTCTTTTAAAAGAACCACAGTTAAAAACGTGCTATGGCTAAGAGATATTTGAGCATCAAACAATTTTGTAATAGGTAGTGTCTACCAAGTTTGTTCCAAATAAAAAGCCCTTGGGTCAAAAATTGGGCCCCGCCCCAGGGGGGTTCATTTGATTTTCCCTATATGCATATAGTAAAAATTTTAAAAAAATCTTTCTTTTTAAAGAACCAAAAGAGTTAGAGCTTAAGATATTGCATGAAACATGTTCTAAAAATAAGTGTTGTCTTAACCAAGTTTGTTAAAATAAAAGCCCTTTTGGGTCAAAAAATTGGCCCCGCCCCGGTGGCGTCAATTTGATTTTCCCTATATGGCATATAGTAAAAAACTTAAAAAAAAATCTTTTCTTTTAAAAACTCAAAGAGCTATGGATAAGATGTTTTAGCATCAAACATGTTCTAATAGGTGTGAGTACTACCAAGTTTGTTCAAATAAAAGCCCTGGGGTCAAAATTGCACCGCCCCCGGGGGTCATTGATTTTCCTTATATGTGTATAGCAAAAAACTTAAAAAAATCTTCTTTTGAAAAAACCACCAAATAGCTAGAGTAAGATATTAAGCATGAAACATCTTTTTAGTGAGTGTCTACAAAAGTTTGTTCAAATAAAAAGACCTGGTGTCAAAAATTAGCCCCGCCCGGGGGTCATTGGGGGTTTTCTTTTATATGTGTTATAGCAAAAACTTTAAATCTTCTTTTGAAAAAACCCAAATAGCTAGAGTTTTAGATATTAAGCATGGAAACATCGTCTAGTAAGTGTCTACCAAAGTTTGTTTCAATAAAAGCCCTGGGGTCAAAATTTTTTTTTTGGCCCGGCCCCCGGGGTGTTATTCGTTTTTTAACTATATTGTTGTTATAGTAAAAAAATTTTAAAAAAATTTCTTTTTAAAAACCCAATTGAGCTTTTAAGCTTAGATGTTTTAGGCATTGAAACATTTCTTATTATGGGTTGTGACCAAGGTTTTTGCAAATAAAAAGCCCTTTGGGTTAAAAATTGGGCCCTGCAAACGTTTTGGGGGGTGGGGGTCCCTATATAACGCTGCGAGTGAGGCGACCTCGAGGCCATCATGGCCCTTTCTTGTTTCCATAATTATGCCCCCTTTTTTGGACCAATTTTATGTATTATATAGGTAAGCATTTTTCCATACTCAATGAAACCTTCCCTTTTGGGTTGACAATTTTTTCGAATTTGGTCGAGCGAGCGTTACTGTCCTCCGACAGTTCTTGTTATTAAATTGAATTCTTTCAATAAATAGTTAAATATATCTAAATTTTTGAAAAATACAAAAATATATTTAAATTAATAGATCATTGATAATATCACCAGTTTGTTACAGTAAAGTATAAGTACATGTAACACTAATACCTTTATAAAACGTTTTAATTACATTCAGTGATTTTTTTTTTGGTTGATTTTGACCCCGAAATAAGGCCTCTTCACAATGCCAAAAATACATAAAATATTCACAAAAATGTGAAAAAAATTCACAATTGTCACGATTGCTTTTCAGTACCAAACAAAAAAATGAACCCACAAATGACGATCTTGAGAATTCGATTGATACATTTGAGGGAATGAAAACTAGAAAGCTTAAACTATGAGCATAATTATTAAATGTATGAATAAAGTGACTGCAGGTGATGATTTATGCTTGTTTATTTTTTCACAATTTGACAGATTATTGCGCTAAAAATTCACTATTTAAGGGGTATTGGCTGTTGCAAAAAAGTAAAAAAAATCAACGTACATATGTATAATGCATTATACAACTTTCACATTTCTTTAACTAATGATCCCAAATCTGTTCTTATCTGTTACATATCAACATGCAATCTATACTCAATGTCCTTTTAAGTTTTTTTTTTCATAATTTGATAAAAAATATACATTTATGTATATGTAGGCTTATAGCTGAGAATTCAGTGATGATTCATATACACTAACTATAAATCATAATTTTCTCAGGGAAATCATCAGTTGGGCGAATCGTTATATTACTCAAAGATCTCCCGGCCCTCATGGCCATTCCAGTAATATTTCATTTGTCTATTTCAGAGTTTCAGTAGCTGTCATAGAGGATTTGTGATATGAGAGGATCATTAGAACTACAAAAAAACCTTAAGCCTAGCTGAGTGAAATTTTAACCTGTGTTGATTTTTTTAAAAACCATACTGTATAGTATGAACCATACTTGATTTAACTAAAAGATAGTTGTAGTAAAGCCTAAATCAGGGAGGAATTATTGTTTGGCAAAATTGACAGGAGACATTTGAATATTCAATGACCTTTTGTCGGTAATTGTCTGTCTCGGAAGTAAACCATGCAGACTGATTTTGTATTCTTGTTGGGACTAGCTTGTTAATTAAGATAAGATTTTAACATTTTTGGTTAAACTAAAAATATTACAATTTTGAGAAAAAAGCTAGGCTTCCACCTTCATAATGCTAGATAATTTTGACTTGCATGCAAGTAAAGGTGACAACTGATGAGGGTAATTAAATACTCTGTTTGTGGAATAAATAAACAATTGCAGGGGATTAAACTTTGATAAGCAATGATGAGTTTACCAAGCAGACCTCCGTTGGAATCTAAAGATTCAAGTTTTGATGACCCGCTGACAATTAATCCTTGGAAAGTTTTAGTGGACAACATATGTGAGAATTTGGACAAAGAGCTCTATTCCAAGTTTTTGTTTCACTCAAAAGAGCTTGTACTTGATGACTATAATGCTCTAGAGAAGAATGGTGAGAGAGATGAATACAGGCAATATTTTAGTAAACTGGAAGATAATCTTGGTGAAAATGGGGCAGTAGATCATCTTGAGCATCTTGTAAGACACCTTGGCTTGCATGGTGGAATGGGTAAGAGTTAGTGATATAAGAAATTCCTTTCTGAAGCAGTAAAGATAAAAAATACATGAAACTGAATCAGATCTGCAGGTGAAGTTGAATTTAATCAACAAGTGCAATGTTATATTATAAATAATTGTATCATAGTTTTGGGACCTTTCTGTTGAAAAAGTGTCAGAGTTAAATCGTATACATATACATGCACAGTGCGGTAACTGGAGTGCAGGTATCAGTTACCCGCACTCCAGATCATGCCCGTTGATTGGCTCATTTTTGCTGGGGTTTACATATTGTGATGGCAGAGAAAGGGAAAGCGGCAGAAACATCATATTCAGATGCTCGATCATTGGTTACTTTTTCCCGGGGTTTAAAATTGTGACAACAGGGAACGTGTTTTAAGCTCACCTGTCACAAAGTGACAGGGTGAGCTTTTGTGATCGCTTTTCGTACGGCGTCCGGTCGTCGTCCTTCCGTAAACTTTTACTTTAAATGACATCTCCTCATAAACCACTAAGCCAATTTCATCCAAACTTCACAGGAATGTTCGTTTGGTGGTCACCTTTAAAAGCTGTTCAAAGAATTTAATTCCATGCAGAACTCTGGTTGCCATGGCAACCGAAAGAAAAAACTTTAAATGTCTTCTTTTAAAAAACCATAAGAGCTAGAGCTTAGATATTTAGCATGAAACATCTTCTAGTGAGTGTCTACCAAGTTTGTTCAAATAAAAGCCCTGGGGTCAAAATTGGCCCCGCCCCGGGGGATCATTGATTTTCCCTATATGCATATAGTAAAAACTTAAAAAATCTTCTTTTAAAGAACCCAAAGAGCTAGAGCTAAGATATGTAGCATGAAACATCTTCTAATGGGTGTCTACCAAGTTTGTTCAAATAAAAGCCCTGGGGTCAAAATTGGTCCCACCCCGGGGGGGGTCAATGATTTTCCCTATACTGGCATGCGAGCAGTTCCCGTACAAAAATCGTAGTTATTTAAACATTATTTTTTATTACGCTCACTCACCAGAATTTGAATGTTACACATCAATATTCGGCTCGTCACACAAATCATTGAAATTCCATCATGTTCTAAACATAGAATAACCCTTAGTTATGAGGCCTCATATGGGGTACCGAAATTATCCATTATTTTGTATGAAGAGAAGTAGTTCCCGTACATAAAATTTAACCCATTATAACTATACAATTTTATTATATTGGACCTTTTTTTCATTTATAATTGTTGAACAGACCATTTTCTATGAGATAAATAGATGTAATTCAGGAAATAGAAAGTAGACTTAACGCGTGTATCTATTACCCAGTACCGTTACCCCTAACGCATTCATATGCGATGGCATGCTTGTATGCATGATATTTTATGCATCAAAGCCATAAAATTATTTTATATAGTAACATTGGTCAAAATTCTGATAATTAAACAAGTTTTCATCACATTGCCTTCTTATCTGTAAACAGGTGGTATTAGTGGAAAACCCTTTAACATGCCTCACGTGTAAGTATGTTTGCGCATGCGCGCAAGGACGGAATCCCCCAGATAAAACAAGGTCACGTTTTGACAACGCACAGGTGAAAGTGATTTAAAATGAGACTTTTTATACGTACTGCCGTACTGACACTTAGATTTTGTCTCGTTTATTTATCTGCTTGATTTGAAATGAATTTTTGAAGAATGCATGTAAAAATCAAGCGTTTAAATGAAAAATACGGGTACTGCTTCTGTACGGGAACTGCTCGCATGCCAGTATGCTTATAGTAAAAACTTAAAAAATCTTCTTTTAAAGAACTCAAAGAGCTATGGCTAAGATATTGAGCATCAAACATGTTCTAATAGGTGTCTACCAAGTTTGTTAAAATTAAAGCCCTGGGGTCAAAATTGGCCCCGCCCGAGGGGGTAATTGATTTTCCCTATATGCATACAGTAAAAACTTAAAAAATCTTCTTTTAAAGAACCAAAAGAGTTAGAGCTAAGATATTTAGCATGAAACATGTTCTAATAAATGTCTACCAAGTTTGTTTAAATAAAAGTCCTTGGGTCAAAATTGGCCCCGCCCCGGGGTGTCATTGGTTTTCCCTATATGCATATAGTAAAAACTTAAAAAATCTTCTTTTAAAGAACTCAAAGAGCTATGGCTAAGATATTTAGCATCAAACATGTTCTAATAGGTGTCTACCAAGTTTGTTCAAATAAAAGCCCTGGGGTCAAAAATGGCACCGCCCCGGGGGTCATTGATTTTCCTTATATGTGTATAGCAAAAACTTAAAAAACCTTCTTTGAAAAAACCCAAACAGCTAGAGTTAAGATATTAAGCATGAAACATCTTTTAGTGAGTGTCTACAAAGTTTGTTAAAATAAAAGCCCTGGGGTCAAAATTGGCCCTGCCCCGGGGGGTCATTGAATTTCTTTATATGTGTATAGGAAAAACTTAAAAAAAAACATCTTTGAAAAAACCCAAATAGCTAGAGTTTACATGTGTAGATATTAAGCATGAAACATCTTCTAGTAAGTGTCTACAAAGTTTGTTCAAATAAAAGCCCTTGGGTCAAAACTGGCCCGGCCCAAGGGGTGTCATTGTTTTTAACTATATGTGTATAGTAAAAACTTAAAAAGAATCTTCTTTTAAAAAGCCCAATGAGCTAGAGCTTAGATGTTTAGCATGAAACATCTTCTTATTGGTGTCTACCAAGTTTGTGCAAATAAAAGCCCTTGGGTTAAATTGGCCCTGCAACGTTGGGGGGGATGGGGGTTGGGGGGGCCTATATACAGGTGATCGACCTCAGGGCCATCATGGCCCTCTTGTTATGTTTGACTATGATACAAAAGATACATACTTCTACTTAATTGATAGGGCGTCTGTGGCCAAGTGGTCGTTGACTTCAAACCACTTTCCCCTCACCGCTGTTGGTTCGAATCCTGACAGGGACTTTGGATTCATTCCTGTGAGGAAGCTATTCAGCTAGCTTAAGGTATGTCGGTGGTTCTACTCAGGTGCCCGTTTGTGCCTGAAAAAATGCACGGAAGGGCACCTGAGGTCTTCCTCCACCAGTAGTGCTGGAACGTCGCCAAATGACCTATACTGTGTCGGTGTGACGTAAAACCCAATGAAACAAACAAACTTAATTGATCATAATTTTAGTTTGATTTATATTTTACATCATTTTAATTGTGTAAACAACACCAAAAATAGTTTTGGAAAGGACTTTTGGAGGGCACTGTATATTTATTGTAGAAATTTTGATGATTACCAATAAGGAGACAGTTACAGTAAAATTTTATCAATTTTTAAAATGTATTCAAACACATTTGATTACTTTAGAAAATTGTCACAGATAACAATCAATTCCTAGCATAAAGTTATGAATAATTCATTCCTCCTTCAAAACCAAGCATACAGTTATGCAATTTTGAGTTTTCCTTCACACTTTGATTTAGCCTACTTCCATCAATTTCACTCCGTTACTCTACACTCCCTTGCAAAAATTAGTGGAGTGTCAGTAAAAATACAATTTTAATGAAATCGGCCTACTACATGTATGTGCAAATTCTTGGCCAAGAACCTTCTGTGAAGAGCATATTTTGTGCCAATGAAAAACTCTTTATAATTATATCCCCATAAACAAAGTTTAGGGGGGGTATATATAGGAGTCAGCTTGTCTGTTGGTTGTCTGTCAGGGTGTCAGTACGTCAGTCCGCATTATGGTTTCCAAATGATAACTAGAGTTTGGAATGAGTCATTGTAATCAAACTTGGTATTTAGCAACCTTATGAGGAAACCCAGGTTGACATTGTATTAGGACCCTATGTAGGAATGAGATATTGTAATCAAACTTGGTGTTTAGCAAGCTTATATGAAGACCCCGGTTAGTATTGCAATTAATGGAAATAATTCTTTGTTGATACTTCTTTTATTATAGGTTGACTTTTCTTCAGACCTAAGTCACCTTTTATTTTTAGCTCACCTGTCACAAAGTGACAGGGTGAGCTTTTGTGATCGCTTTTCGTACGGTGTCCGTCCGTCCGTCCGTAAACTTTTACTTTAAATGATACTCCTCATAAACCACTAAGCCAATTTCATCCAAACTTCACAGGAATGTTCCTTTGATGGTCACCTTTAAAAATTGTTCAAAGAATTTAATTCCATGCAGAACTCTGGTTGCCATGGCAACTGAAAGAAAAAACTTTAAATATCTTCTTTTAAAAAACCATAAGAGCTAGAGCTTAGATATTTGGCATGAAACATCTTCTAGTGAGAGTATACCAAGTTTGTTCAAATAAAAGCCCTGGGGTCAAAATTGGCTCCGCCCCGGGGGGTCATTGATTTTCCCTATATGCATATAGTAAAAACTTAAAAAATCTTCTTTTAAAGAACCCAAAGAGCTAGAGCTAAGATATTTAGCATGAAACATGTTCTAATGGGTGTCTACGAAGTTTGTTCAAATAAAAGCCCTGGGGTCAAAATTGGCCCCGCCCCGGGGGGTCATTGATTTTCCCTATATGCATATAGTAAAAACTTAAAAAATCTTCTTTTAAAGAACTCAAAGAGCTATGGCTAAGATATTGAGCATCAAATATGTTCTAATAGATGTCTACCAAGTTTGTTCAAATAAAAGCCCTGGGGTCAAAATTGGCCCCGCCCCAGGGGGTCATTGATTTTCCCTATATGCATATATAGTAAAAACTTAAAAAAATCTTCTTTTAAAGAACCAAAAGAGCTATGGCTAAGATATTTAGCATGAAACATGTTCTAATAAGTGTCTACCAAGTTTGTTCAAATAAAAGTCCTGGGGTCAAAATTGGCCCCCCCGCCTATATACAGGTGAGCGACCTCAGGGCCATCATGGCCCTCTTGTTAAAAAGTCTGTGCCGGTGGAGTATTAATCTAGTGATAGCTCTAGTTTTTTGTTGATAAGGATCTAACATTTTAAAAGACTGGCAAACTTAAAAGAGAAGTTGTTAAAATGTCTGTTTAGATTTATTTTATTGTGATATTAAACAGGTTAAACAATGTTATTCAACATTGCTTTGTTTTAATATTATGCAGGTGAAATTAATTACACAGAATGGATTAGCAGTTACAAGGAAGCAAAGATAGAGTATATTCGGAAATGTGAGAGTGTTCTGAAGATAGATCCTGACTTTATTGGTAGAGAACTTATTCTTGAGGATACACTGAAAAATTTCAGAGCCTTTAAAGGTAAGTTTTGTCAGACTGTGTCTTTAAAAATCATTCTATCTGCAAACTTAAGTTTGACATTCTTTTCATTTGTAACCAGGTTTAAGACATTAAAGTGACATTTTGTTCATGCAGGTGTAAATGGTGGATGTACAGATTGAAGTCAAAATTATTTAATAACTTTAGATTTTGCCATAATTGCATTCAATGTTAAAAGTTAAGGACATGTGTGTAATCAGAAACCAGTGTGAACGTGACTTCGCATAAATGTACATCTGAATGTATTGTTAACATTCAATTGATAAAGGAGTGGGACAGTCCTTTAATACAATATTTTTATCAGTCGACCACAAAATAAAGATAAAATGATAAAAGAGGTTAAATTTTTTAATTTTCAAACATTTTTTTAACACTCCAAAAACAGATTTTTTGTCCATAAATCAATGATTTTATAGTTTTGAAGTATTTTTGACATGATTTTAAACAGAATAATTGAAAAAAAATGTTTTAAGTCACTTTTGCTTTTGTTTAAAGTAGCTATTTAATGCTGATCTAGTTTTTATTAGTTTTGTCTTTTTGCATTTAGGGCAAACATGCCACACAACTCCAAATTCATTGTTTAGTGTCTTCATTTCAAGAGTATCCAAACTAGGTCGTTTTGCCACTCTCAAGCTTTTCTGACACAAGCTTGCAACCAGGTAGAACCACCAACCTATAAGCTTACTACAGAAGAACAGAACAGTTCTGTTCTGTTCTATTAGCTTACTGATAGTTTCCTCACGGGAATCCAAATTAAGTTCCTGACAAGATTCTAATCCACAACACCACACAGGGAGAGTGATTTAAGGTCAGAAACCCTAAACCATTCACAGAGGTACAAACCTAATAATGTATAATGTCAGTTTCACAAGGTAAATTGAATCAAAAACTTCAAATTATCTTTAAGAGAGTAAGTTCTGTATGTGCAAAAAATTTGCAATTTCTGAAAATTATTTATATTTCAAATGATAAGTAAAATGAAAGCCATTGACAGTAAATAAGAATCAAATGGCATACATTGTTACAAAATCAGGGTTTTCTGCTGAGAATTTACTATAGGCAATTTTTTACAGAAATGTCTAAGAGGACTTATGCTCATAATCTTACATTGAAAAAAGACCAATTTTCTCAATATTTATCTAGTAAAAAACTTCTAAAAAGACACATTACTACCTGTAATGATATAATATAAACTTAATAAATGTTATAGCTGACTGTGTTCAATTATAACAAGCCTTGTATTTCAACAAGACAACAACAAAAATCTGTCCACCAAACAACTTTCAGGAATTTATTATTTTATTATAATAAATTAATCAATTGTTTTCAAAGATTAATAATAAAAAGTTTTCACTATCAATTTACTAACGAATAAAACTACATTGTACAATGTAAGTAGAACTCATATGAGTCAAATTTCGATTACTCATTTTTCTCAATATATCGAAGTAAAATGTAAGTCCAGATTTTCCCCTTATATTTCTTTATAAAAACCTATTAATACACGAGTCTAAATTTTAATGTGTAGAAATATTCTCATGGTCCGTGGTAAATAGAGTAATATTTCATTTTGACACCTAAGCAGTCGATCAACGGCTTTGATCCCGTGCCCATTTAGTTTTTTACAATTGTTCTGACAGTGAAGATAATTCAAATCAAATTATGCAATGGATGTTAATTACCAGTCATGCTTTCTAACAGCTTTACAGGCTATCATGTTTTATAAAATGCTCTAATATTTATTAGTTGTAATGAAAAGCGAACTTCCGTGACCGGTGTCGCGTGACATTCACACGGGTTAATTTATTACAAGCTTGTAAAGTTATTGCCCTTCCCTTTGTAACATTCTTGTAAACATCAAAGGGCCTTTTGTCAGTTGTTTTAATCAAGTTCCTTTGCTTTACCGAGGTTCTACCGTTAAGTATCGTTAAAAATTTAAGTGAAAAACGTGTACCATACCAAGTAACTTTTAATATTGACAGAAGTTGGTAAGAGAGGTCGGCGGGCAAAATGAAAATAAAAGTTCTTAAATGAACTTTTATTTTTATTTGATTTTCTCTAAAAATACGGTCGGCTGTCCCGTAAAACATTTTATAAAAAAAATGTTGGCCTAATTTTAGTATTAAACCTATACTCATTCAATATCCTCTACATCAATCTTTTTAAATATATTACCAATTCAGCTCAAAGTCGACAACAAAACATGTGCATGATGTCACTGTTAGGTTTTGAAGAGAGGGGTTTGTGGGAGGGAACTGAGAAATGTTTGAAATTCTTGTTAGACACAGTAAAATTATTTTTTCAAAAGGATTTTTTATGTTGAGGAGAGGCTTATATTGCGAAATTATTGTAAATATTTCCAATGACTGTTTAACATCAAACATAAAAAATTCTTTACCCAATACCTATTATAACAACACTTCCAAACTAAACAGATTGCCATGTAATATTATAAGGTGTTACACAGTATGCAATAATTGATTTATACCTGTATTATTATTGTATTAAAGGTGTTACACATGTAGTCTTTGTTTAATGAGGGTCCATCCAACAGTTAACGCACAAAAAGCCGCTTTCGCTGTTGAGTAGGGATCCTGGACATGTCATCAGTCATGCCCTCAAAGACTTAATTTTAAATCACATAGTGGTGATGATTTACCTCCATGCAATTTCCATGGCGTATTAGCCAAAGGTATGAGTTTTGAGCCAAAGGTCACTGTATGACGATCAATGAGAACCAAAATGTACAATTACCTGAAACAATAATGAAAGGAAGTAGCCCTTAAAAGGGCTGTTGATGCCAAGTAAAAGGCTGACTTTACAAACCATCTATCTGTGCCAAGGGCCTAGCACCCTAGCACACAATCCTCATTGTCTCAGCCAACATTGTAGGGCCACCAACCTCGGCTTAAGTCAAGACATCAGCAGCTTGTCCCCAGTTGAAGACCAAGTGGCAGTCCTGTAAACAGGCAGGGTAATTAAAAGCCGTAAATCTTTGGCCGATGCCCTGCACCTTCTCAGCAAAGTGCACTCACTCAGGGGAAGTGAAAAGAAGGTGTTACACTGTGTGGTGTAAGTGACTTATACCAATTTTATTATTATATTAAAGGTGTTACATTGTGTGGTATAAGTGGAATGGGAAAGACCAGTTTGGCTGCCCAGGTGTGTGCCCGACTTGCATGCAGTAAACCAAAGTGGAGGATCATCATCCTCAATCAAAGGTATAATTAATTTTAGTGTAATTTATTCTTGAATAATTAATTTTAGTGTAATTTGCTCTTAATTAATTATTTTTAAGTGTAATTTCTTCTTCATTAATTATTTTAATTTCTTCTCACTAGTTATGGTTATGATAGATTTATGATTATATTAAAGCTGCACACCTCCAGATGAACCAAAATATTTCAAGAAAAATCAAACTTTAGAAAAAAGTACTTAGATGTTAAAAAAGTAAAATTATTCAAGGTAAAAGTAATAATTTCTATGTTATGTGTGCTTTATGAAAGCAATGTCTTTAATCAGTGCATGATTTCTGCTGCTTAATAGAAGGAAAAATGATTTTGTTTGCTAAAAACTGTCTAGGAATAAATTGTGTCCAAATGTTTGAAATTCTATAAGAAATGGTACTCATCTTCCTTTTCAGTATAACATAATTTACATTTTCTAAACCACTAATTTCTCCTTTAACCTTGGAGTCTTAGAACAGAATGTAGTTTCAAAAAGAGCTTTAAAAATTAGATAAAAGCAATCTGGTTTACGTTAAAAAAGCTACTTGCATTGCATAATAGATCTGTTATTCAAGAAATTGAAAGAGCAAAAGAAACTGTTTGAAATTTAAACATTTTTTTAATTAAAGAGAAAAATCGGAACTCAACGACTTGTTGTTGGACATGATATCAGAATTGAGTGCAGAATTAGATGGGAATGAGTACATGCAGTTACTGTCAGAAACAAATACCAACCATCTAAAGATCAGGTGTAACAAACTTATAGATGAGGTTCTTGAAAAACAACTAAGTAAGTAGCTGTCTTGTTGAATTTTAAGCTCTTCTGTCACAAAGTGACATGGTGAGCTTTTGTGATCGCTTTTTGTTCGGCATCCATCTTAAATTCTTCTTTTAAAAATTCCGAAGAGCTAGAGCTAAGATATTAGGCATGAAACATCTTCTAATCTGTTTCTACCAAGTTTGTTCAAATAAAAGCCCTGGGGTCAATATTGGCCTCCGCCCGGGGGGGTATTTTGATTTCTACTACGTTTGTTCTAATAAAAGCCCTAGCGTGAAAATTGACTCTGCCCCAGGGGGTCATTGATTTTCATTATTGTAAATTGTAAAAACAAAGAAATCATCTTTTAAAAAAACCAAATAGCTAGAGCTTAGATATTGAGCATGAAACATCTTCTTGTCAGTGTCTACCAAGTTTGTTCAAATAAAAACCTTGGGGTCAAAATTGGCCCCGGCCCAGGGGTCATTGATTTTCCTTATATGTACACATATGTAAACTGTTGTTTTCCCTTAGCAATAGCAACCAGTAATGTTTTTACACATGCACTATTTCAGATGCAAATATGAACTTTGTGAAATCAGTTTAAGATTTAGATTTTATATCTGCTTTTGTTTATTGTTTACAATATTACTTGTTCCTGTTCATGTAGAGCTTATTTATACAGATGAGCGATTTCAGGGCCATCATGGCCCTCTTGTTTATTCTATGTCTTCTGCTTTTGTCAGGAATATGTCCCCAGTGCCTAAAGTTTTATGTTTATGTAATTGTTTTTTATCAAACTTAGGATGCAATTATGGACTAAACAGTTTAACTGCTGCGTAAAGCTTGAAAGTTGCCATATTACAGCTATAGTGTCTGTTTGAATCAGAACCCAACTGAAAGAAATAATGATAAGAATTATCATAATATTTAAAGTGACCCTTGGACATTTCTATAAATATTATTGGAATATATCAGTAACCTTCAATTTGGAAAAGAGTGGGGCAGTCATTTTATAATTTAGGTAGTTTTTGTATTAATTTTCTGAAATATGTTTCATTATCAATTATTTGTTAATCACCACTATTATAATAGTCACATAGTCACTCTCTTGAAACATATTACTAATTCAACTCAACTTGATAGTGAATAGATAGGCATAATGTAAATAAATGGTAAAAAATCGATCATTAACTGATAATCGATTTTTGACAAGTCCATTCAGGAAAATAATCTTTTAAAAGGAATTGATTAAGATAACAAGTTATTAATGAAATAAGACTGCTGGCATGGGAAAACAATCCTTAATGTCACTTACTTTTTTTTAGCTCACCTGTCACAAAGTGACAGGGTGAGCTTTTGTGATCGCTTTTCGTCCGGCGTCCGTCCGTCGTCCGTCCGTCCGTCCGTAAACTTCTGCTTTAAATGACATCTCCTCATAAACCACTGAGCCAATTTCATCCAATCTTCACAGGAATGTTCCTTTGGTGATCACCTTTAAAAATTGTTCAAAGAATTTAATTCCATGCAGAACTCTGGTTGCCATGGCAACCAAAAGAAAAAACTTTAAATATCTTCTTTTAAAAAACCATAAGAGGTAGAGCTTAGATATTTGGCATGAAACATCTTCTAGTGAGTGTCTACCAAGTTTGTTCAAATAAAAGCCCTGGGGTCAAAATTGGCCCCGCCCCTGGGGGTCATTGATTTTCCCTATATGCATATAGTAAAAACTTAAAAAATCTTCTTTTAAAGAACCGTAAGAGCTAGATCTTAGATATTTGGCATGAAACATCTTCTAGTGAATGTCTACCAAGTTTGTTCAAATAAAAGCCCTGGGGTCAAAATTGGCCCGACCCAGGGGGTCATTGATTTTCCCTATATGCATATAGTAAAAACTTAAAAAATCTTCTTTTAAAGAACCCAAAGAGCTAGAGCTAAGATATTAAGCATGAAACATCTTCTAGTGAATGTCTACCAAGTTTGTTCAAATAAAAGCCCTGGGGTCAAAATTGACCCCGCCCCAGGGGGTCATAGATTTTCCCTATATGCATATAGTAAAAACTTAAAAAATCTTCTTTTAAAGAACCCAAAGAGCTAGAGCTAAGATATTTAGCATGAAACATCTTCTAATGAGTGTCTACCAAGTTTGTTCAAATAAAAGCTCTGGGGTCAAAATTGGCCCCGCCCCAGGGGGTCATTGATTTTCCCTATATGCATATAGTAAAAACTTAAAAAATCTTCATTTAAAGAACTCAAAGAGCTATGGCTAAGATATTTAGCATGAAACTTGTCTAATGGGTGTCTACCAAGTTTGTTCAAATAAAAGCCCTGGGGTCAAAACTGGCCCCGCCCGGGGGGGGGGGGGTCATTGATTTTCCTTATATGTGTATAGCAAAAACTTAAAAATCTTCTTTGGAAAAACCCAAATAGCTAGAGTTTAGATATTAAGCATGAAACATCTTTAAGTAAATATCTACAAAGTTTGTTAAACCCGGGGGTCAAAACTGGCCCTGCCCCAGGGGTGACATTGTTTTTAACTATATGTGTATAGTAAAAACTTTAAAAATCTTCTTTTAAAAAAGCCAATGAGCTAGAACTTAGATGTTTAGCATGAAACATCTTCTTATGGATGTCTACCAAGTCTGTTCAAATAAACAAATAAAAGCCCTTGGGTAAAAATTGGCCCGGGGGTGGGGGGCCTATATACAGGTGAGCGACCTCAGGGCCATCATGGCCCTCTTGTTTAATTGACATATTGCATACTTTAAGAAATTCAGTTCTGTAGCTCTTGAAATAAATAAAAAAACTTCTGAAATTTGCTTATTGTTACATATTTATATTATCTTTAACATTGCAAGCGTTATTCACTGTTTTATTTTTAACTTCAATGACAATATGGTAAAGTCTTTTGACTTGACATTTGTAAAATGTCGTTTAGGGTCGTTTTCTTATGCCAGCATTCAATTAATGTTTTCATATTTCCATTTATAAGGGTATTTTATTGTTCATTGTTAGATATACTGTTATTGCTGGACAATGTTGATGGACATTGTGATGGAGAAGATAGACAACATGATTTCTCTCAGTTTATGAAGGAACTCCTAAACAACATTCCTCTAAAAAGCAGCGTAAGTCCATAGACAATTGGGAATGTAGATTGAAATTGTGACTCCCATCCCAGGCTTTAAAACCAGTTATATTCCGTTTTTGCTTTTTTTTTTTTTTTTTCAATTTTCAAAACAACCAGTGGCTTTCTGAAGGGGAAAATATAGCGCGATAAATCAGAAAAGGGGGAAATCAAATTATAAATGTTTTATAAAATTTTCAATTTCAATTCAATTAAACATGCATTGTACATTGCAGAGGCTACATGTATCTATTCTTGCTGCTGTTAAGTCGTGGTTCTGGTGAAGAATATGCACAAGGCATTTTGGGGGAAAATATAAGCATTTTAGGGGAAAATATACCTATTTTTGCTAGGGGAAACAGCCTTTATTCGACTGTAAAATTCAGGGGGGAAAATCACTGTTTTGTAAATTTAAACCTATGTACCATGTACTTATGAAACAAATTCACTTATTCAAATAAGTTTGTAATAGTTTGTATGGTTAGAGTATGGACTGATATTTTTCACTTAAAATAATTTGATTTTAAAGGCACATGGTCACTAGTATGGGAGTCACTAGGATTGATCCACATGCCAAATGTCATTGTGTATGTCCAAAGTAATACAATAAAAGCCCCACATAAATATATACAATTATTATCTCTATATGATTGTAATAAATAAGTTTTCATAGATTAGATACAAAAATTTATAGTTTTCTTTTTGGTATTTTGTGAAAGCTTAATGGCACTTATTGCACGGTTACCAATACTTTGGTTAAATGCATTCATAAAATATAAATCAAGTAGCATAGCCAATATTTCTTAATAATTAAATAATTTCATTTACATGGAAGGTGTTATAGAGGGAAAATTTAGTACTTGTACA